AGTGATTTTATAAACTACTTTTTCGTCAATAATTTTTCTGCACTCTTGTAAAGCTCTGAACTGCAATTTAGTTTGTCTGAAAGGTGCTGTATAAATAAAGTTTGACTGATTGATTGAAGGAGGGTTCAAACTTATAGCAGAGCAAGTTTCAGCACGGCCCCAATACTTTCAAAGTCGATGCAAAGGCGTGATTTCACCGATTTGAATTTATGCAACTTAAGGGAGAAATTTACAAGATGTTGATTTGTTGACGCCTTTCTGCACCGACATCGTCCTGACCGTCTGAGCTTGCATTAGATATGGTTTGTCAGGAAACAGCATTTAATAAATTAACAAATTCAGAAGTTGTTTGCAGGTCACGTTTGTTTTTACTCCAAAAATCTCCATCATTATTTCTCATCTTTTATCAAACCAAAATGATTTCATTGGATCATAGATCTGACATCCTAAATACAGTTAACTAACAGTGAATGGGGAACAATAGATGCATCTTTGTTTTTTTCATCAATCCTCGAAAGGCAAATATAAGCTGATAAGATGTTGGTTAACCAGCACACACAAACCATGATCTTGTAGACGTAACAAAAGGGTCAAATGACTTTACATAAAAACAAACTTGTGTTTCTAGATCTCACCTGTTTCTATGGCTTGGACTTCATCAGACTTCCATTGCTCCGCCACATCATTTGCTAGAGGATCATCTGGGTTGGGTGCACTTAGTAATGCCTGGATCGACAGCAGCACTGTGCGAATCTGCAGAGCTGGCGACCATTTATCTGAAAAGATGAGAAAAGAAAAAAAGGATTAATGAGACTAAAACAGAATTTTAGAATACTAAAGAGAAGAGGAGATGATACTTGATAAACAGCAGGGATGTGTCTATTCTAAGCTGCTGTGGTAGAGTGGAGATGTGAGGAAGTAGTGGCACAAAGCTCTAGTCAAGGGTTCACAAATGAAACATAAGAGGCCATTGATCTTTTAGCAAAATAAAATGGACGAGTGCCTCACTTCACTGCCAGACAGACAACACATGACACAACACATGCAGGATTTCCTACACCTGCAGTAACAAGCCTGACTAAACATGGCAGAGATAGTGGGAGAAACAAAGTGCTGTTAACTCTGATGGCCGCTAGACTTACCTTTCAAAATGTCTAGACATATTCTTCCCAACTTGTCTACATTGGGATGATATATTTTGGTCATGAAGCGTACTTTAGGAGCTGCCATTGGATATTCCTCTGGTAGAAAGAGTTCAAGTTTAAACGTGCCCCCCTCAAAAGGTGAGTCCTGTGGTCCGGCGATGACCACATGAAAGTAGCGAGCGTTGCTTTCATCTGGCTCTGCCTTGATGCCTGGGACGGGCTCCTGCAGCAAACGCTGAGTTTCCTGTTACAGAGACGAAACATAAAGACGTTTCATTTTTCATGTTAACTTCCTTAACCACAAAGCGTGTTTGAATGGGCAATACAGAACTCACTTTCCCACGAGTCTGAGAATGCTAATAAACTCTAAGTAAAAGATGCAGAAAGAAACTACTGCACAGGCTGAAAAAAAGGGAAGAAACTAAGTTTGACTTTTAAAATGGGATGCAGCAAACAGCAAACCTCACAAGAAAACAATCTACTATCCTGCAGTGCATACTTTTCCATCACAGCTGTTTAGTTTGACATGACAAGAGCATCAACACAACACAAGTGCAGAAACTGAAGCCTCCAGACCTCAGTGCAGTGCAGCGTAACAGAACAAATGCAAATGATGATCTAATCAATGTAACTACAGCACTGCATTGTGCACACACAGCAAAAGGTTCCCAAAGGACACAGAAAGTGCAAACATAGCTTTAACAACCTTCTTGTTGCCCGGGGATGTGACTCAAAGTAACTACAAATAATATCCGTATAACATCCTTCATTCATTTCATTCTTGGCAAAAAGGAGAATTAAATTCATTGGCAGAGAATTTGACTGTTCTCTCTGTAAGTACGTACACAGAAACTGAAGAAACAACAGAGCTGAACAACTCAAAGTTTCTTCAGTTTCAATGTTCTTTTTAAGGGCTTAAAAAACATAAACAATAAGTTCTGAATGTTTTTTTACTTCCTGTGATGCACTATGAACAGTATAAATGATTTGATATGACATGCATCAATCCTGAGGTTATGACATCATCATTAAACGACTGGCCTTGTGTAGCACTTTAGCCTGATGTCTGGTCTTATAATGGCAATTGAATTATCATGAAAAGGAATTCACAACATAAAAGGATGCAACACCATCAAGACATCATGAGTCACACAAGCATGGCAATATGTCCGCCCCAGATGTTGAAGCATTTATAATGAGGACGCTTTAGATGACTTGCATTGAGCTTGCAGGGCCACCGTACAAGACAGCGGGACGCTTTGTAATAAATCATGACAGCTACAAATGAAGTTGTGGTTTATAGTCATCTACACCTGTTCCTTGCACTTTTACATGATGATTCACCTTTGGGAATGTTTACTCCACACAGGTAGATCAAGTATTCGATCACACAGCACAAACAGCCTGTTAGTCGGCATTTTTTATTCTTGCATGACTGAAGTACACGCCCACTTCCTGATGCAAACCTTTATTTAGCTGGAGAAAAAGGAGGATGTCTTCAGTAAAAGAGAAAAGAAAAGTTAAACTAAGGAGTCCAAACAGTGAACCTACATTTCTGTTATCATCCAATGATGAGTTGTTATTGTTAACAGGAAGTAAATTCTAAAGATCTTAGAGACAGCTTGCTTAACAGTCCTCATAACAAGCACCCTGTGTCCCCTAAACGCTCTGAAGAGATGCAGATGTTCACACTCAAACTGCTTTGTATTGACTTGATAAGTCTTTAAAAACATAATGGGTTTCAAGACTTGGACTGTGCCCTTCAACAACTGGCTCAGTGCTGGGATTTTGAAGACTCTTTGTTCAGAACTGGTGGTGAGATATTTTTTTAGAGGTTGACGCTCTGACTCAGCCACAGAAACTCAGGAGACCAGCGTTGCTTTCACTGCCCTCGGCCACTGTAGCAACATTTCTCCCATCTCAAATGACCTACATAAGCACACACCTTAACTATGACAGGACAGCAGGTGACACCTCTTGTGGTTTGCATGAGTCATGAATGACACACTTGAGAGGAACTTATGCAAAAGTACTGTATTTTTTTACTGCCATTGAATTCATTCCTTAATTTAGCTCTGATAAAACAATGAGTCTCTCATATGCAGCACTTGTAATTTTCCGGCGTCTAAAAACCCAAGTCCATCCTTTTTTTGCAGCAGAAACATAACACACCTGTCTCAAAAACACATGGCAGAAACCATATGTGAAATAGTAGCGTTGAATTAATCTTTGCAGAGCCAGTAGCACCCTTGTTTTTGGACGTTCCTTTCCTGAACGTGACTGGGAGTGGGATTCCTGAAATGTTTCAGATAACCCATAGACAAAACCATGCAGTGAAAACACAGACAGGGACAGGGGGCTCCGGTCCCATTCACACGCTCTGAGGGCTCAAGGGCTCGGACCGCTAAGTACTCTTGCCATTTTACCCATCTTTTCCCACAATGCTGGTCTGCTGTTTCACCCACCTGTACAACCTTCTCTGAGAAAATAAGTGTTCCTGTTATGCGCTTATCAATTTCTATTTCCTCTCTCCCATGCAGATTGTGTGTTATGATAAATTACCCTGAAACCTCCTTACTTAGTCACGTATCAGCGGTGTGACCAGCATAAAAAACAAATCCATATTAGCTCAAGACAGGCTAAGTGTTAATGCTACAAACTAGGGCTGGGAAATATATGGAGTTTTTAAGATATATTGATATATTTTCAAACAAGATCTAGGGTAAGACAACATGGTTAATATGGATTTAGTTTATGTTGCATTAACATAACGTTACAGAGGTGCCAGGTCTCCTTCTTCTCATCTCACTGATGATGACTGACTGTCTGCTCCTCCTCTCTCTCTCTTTTATTGGATTTAAAGAACATTTTTATTTTATTATATTACTTTTTAAATTCACAAACAGGTCGTTTATTTTTCCATGTGTTTTCACTGTTAATGAAATACGTATTGATATATGTCGAGTATCACCATTCAGCTAAACAATATGGAGATATGAGTTTTGGTCCATATCACCCAGCCCTACTACAAACCATAAGTTGCACATCGATTAAATATGATGAATGTTCACACATAACACAAGTTGACTCTTACATGTAGATACGATTATTATGAAGACACTGTTAAAGTTCCACAAAGGAAAAGGGTAAAAGTTAGTTTATTCTTCTCTACCAACAATAAAGTTAGGCATCTGCAGTTCATCCTTAAAGAAAGTTAAAGTTTAAGTTAATAATGTAATATAATAATGAACTTATAACACAGAACTTCCAATCACAAATGGTATAAACTTTGCTGTTTTTACTTCCTTCTATTTGCCAAACACCTGAACTGCCTCTGCTTTATCTGGTCTCACGCACTACATCACTTTATTCTATCCACTTTATATATTTTTATATTTTACTTTATTCCTGTTGTTTCTTATCCATCACTACAGTCACTTTATTTATCTCATTCTTACCTTACAGTTATATTGTATATATTAGTTCTGTTGTTCCATTATTCACCTTATAACTTATCATTTAGTATTTGCCTACTTGCACATAGTTCTGTATATATATATATTTATTTATTTCTCGTTTACTGCACATAGTTCTGTATATATATATATATATTTATTTCTCGTTTACTGCACATAGTTCTGTATATATATATATATATTTATTTCTCGTTTACTGCACATAGTTCTGTATATATATATATTTATTTATCATTTACTGCACATAGTTCTGTTTACATCTGTTAGTCTGATCACTGTCCACTTATATCTACTCTTTTATATTTTGTATTTTAAGTGAAGTTTAAGCTTTAAGTTGTATTTAAATTGACACTTTCTATTTGGGTTAAAATGTTTCATCGACCTGCTCTGTTGTTAATTTACTGCTCTGTGTCCCCGGGGACAAATAAAGTTTTTTGAATTGAAAATATGACAAGAAGAAGAAGAAGCTGTGAGTTGTAGTCTGAGTTGCACTTTGATGATGATGATGATGATGATGATGATGATGATGATGATGATATTAAAGTAAGGTATGACTTCTGTCATGACCTGAGAACATACATGATGGGATGATCAGCTGTAGTCACAGCAAGGGGCCACATTCATCTTCTCACTGCCAGAGGGCCAAATTGTAGAATACAAAAACGATTACAGTCGATTATGTCTCAAATATAACTCAACACATACCAGGGATCAAATATGATCATGGACATGTTTCAGGTTTTCATGATTTCATGGCAGATTTCTTCATGTTTCTAATGAATTGATGTGTAAAAACTGACGTGAGGGCCACGTTGAGGGTTGATGGGGGCCGCATGTGGCCCCCGGGCCGCCAGTTGCCCTCCCCTCCCTCACAGCTTCACACCAGAACAGATCAGTTTAATAAAATGTTCACACTAACTTAGAAAGAGATGTAACCACCAAACCAACAGGTCAACAAACTATTGTGATTATTTAAGGTCAAAGTGTCACCTTTAACCTTTAACCTTTAACCTGCGGTACATTAAAAGAAGTTATTACATTTAAGACTAATTCACCGTGAAAACGTTTCATAAAGAATTGAACTTGATAATGATGTTAAATAAAAAGGCTGCACCGGAACAAATCTTATTTATATATCTATATAAAGTTTTATGTTGTGCATAAATTAAAGGTTTAATCCGGATGTCATGCTAACAGGCTAACAGGCTAACAGGCTAGCGGTGTTAGCATAGTTAGCCTGGTGAGCTAACCATTCAGTCATCACAGAAACCCGCATCAGTCGCGATTTTAAAACATTATTCTGCATGAAGCTACATGTAGAAAGGTGTAATCTCGGCAGGTGGTTCATGTATGGGTCACATGAGGTAACATTACCACCCGGAGCCTCGGTTTATCTGAGCACAGAAACGGAAGTGATTTAATCAGATACCGTGAGTTAGCTGGATGCTAATGCTAGCTGTAGCGGAGTTACGGAGCGTCATGAGGAGTTTAGATCGTGTGCGCGAGGCTTCAGCAAAGGCAGATCATTCAGACATACAGCTGATTAAAGTGGTAAAATAAATACCTTTGTGATCCTGCGGGGCAGTCCTGCCATCTCGTCTTAAATGCGGGATTTTTAGCTTTCAGTGCTTTCTTTCTGCCGCTGGCTTTGACAGCTAACACACGACTTCCGGGTTGATTGCGTCATGAGCGTCGACGGTAGGACAGGAATGTGGCTGACAGAAAGTGTTTGTTCCAGTTTATCAGGTAATAGAGACAGACAACACCTGAAGAAGACATCAGATATCTGAGCATCATAAGTCCTCAAAACTTTAAAACACTGAGAGCTGCGTTTTATATCACTGAAGAAGACAAGTGCAGAGAATGACTAAATAAATACATAACAGACTAAATAAATACATAATAGACTAAATAAATACATAACAGACTAAGTAAATACATAATAGACTAAGTAAATACATAATAACTAAATAAATACATAATAGACTAAATAAATACATAATAGACTAAGTAAATACATAATAGACTAAGTAAATACATAATAACTAAGTAAATACATAATAGACTAAGTAAATACATAATAGACTAAGTAAATACATAATAGACTAAATAAATACATAATAACTAAATAAATACATAATAACTAAATAAATACATAATAGACTAAATAAATACATAATAACTAAATAAATACATAATAGACTAAATAAATACATAATAGACTAAGTAAATACATAATAGACTAAGTAAATACATAATAACTAAGTAAATACATAATAGACTAAGTAAATACATAATAGACTAAGTAAATACATAATAACTAAATAAATACATAATAGACTAAGTAAATACATAATAACTAAATAAATACATAATAGACTAAGTAAATACATAATAGACTAAATAAATACATAATAGACTAAGTAAATACATAATAGACTAAGTAAATACATAATAGACTAAATAAATACATAACAGACTAAGTAAGTACATAATAGACTAAATAAATACATAATAGACTAAGTAAATACATAATAGACTAAGTAAATACATAATAACTAAATAAATACATAATAGACTAAGTAAATACATAATAGACTAAGTAAATACATAATAGACTAAGTAAATACATAATAACTAAATAAATACATAATAGACTAAGTAAATACATAATAGACTAAGTAAATACATAATAGACTAAGTAAATACATAATAGACTAAGTAAATACATAATAGACTAAGTAAATACATAATAGACTAAGTAAATACATAATAGACTAAGTAAATACATAATAACTAAATAAATACATAATAGACTAAGTAAATACATAATAGACTAAGTAAATACATAATAGACTAAGTAAATACATAATAGACTAAGTAAATACATAATAGACTAAGTAAATACATAATAACTAAATAAATACATAATAGACTAAGTAAATACATAATAGACTAAGTAAATACATAATAGACTAAGTAAATACATAATAGACTAAGTAAATACATAATAACTAAGTAAATACATAATAGACTAAATAAATACATAATAGACTAAGTAAATACATAATAGACTAAGTAAATACATAATAGACTAAGTAAATACATAATAACTAAATAAATACATAATAGACTAAGTAAATACATAATAACTAAATAAATACATAATAGACTAAGTAAATACATAATAGACTAAGTAAATACATAATAGACTAAGTAAATACATAACAGACTAAGTAAATACATAATAGACTAAATAAATACATAATAGACTAAGTAAATACATAATAGACTAAGTAAATACATAATAACTAAATAAATACATAATAGACTAAGTAAATACATAATAGACTAAGTAAATACATAATAGACTAAATAAATACATAATAGACTAAGTAAATACATAATAGACTAAGTAAATACATAATAGACTAAGTAAATACATAATAACTAAATAAATACATAATAGACTAAGTAAATACATAATAGACTAAGTAAATACATAATAGACTAAATAAATACATAATAGACTAAGTAAATACATAATAGACTAAGTAAATACATAATAGACTAAGTAAATACATAATAGACTAAATAAATACATAATAGACTAAGTAAATACATAATAGACTAAATAAATACATAATAGACTAAGTAAATACATAATAGACTAAGTAAATACATAATAGACTAAGTAAATACATAATAGACTAAGTAAATACATAATAACTAAATAAATACATAATAGACTAAGTAAATACATAATAACTAAATAAATACATAATAGACTAAGTAAATACATAATAGACTAAGTAAATACATAATAGACTAAATAAATACATAACAGACTAAGTAAGTACATAATAGACTAATAAATACATAATAGACTAAGTAAATACATAATAGACTAAGTAAATACATAATAGACTAAGTAAATACATAATAGACTAAGTAAATACATAATAACTAAATAAATACATAATAGACTAAGTAAATACATAATAACTAAATAAATACATAATAGACTAAGTAAATACATAATAGACTAAGTAAATACATAATAGACTAAATAAATACATAACAGACTAAGTAAGTACATAATAGACTAAATAAATACATAATAGACTAAGTAAATACATAATAGACTAAGTAAATACATAATAGACTAAGTAAATACATAATAACTAAATAAATACATAATAGACTAAGTAAATACATAATAGACTAAATAAATACATAATAGACTAAGTAAATACATAATAGACTAAGTAAATACATAATAGACTAAGTAAATACATAATAGACTAAGTAAATACATAATAGACTAAGTAAATACATAATAACTAAGTAAATACATAATAGACTAAATAAATACATAATAGACTAAGTAAATACATAATAGACTAAATAAATACATAATAGACTAAGTAAATACATAATAGACTAAGTAAATACATAATAGACTAATAAATACATAATAGACTAAGTAAATACATAATAGACTAATAAATACATAATAGACTAAGTAAATACATAATAGACTAAATAAATACATAATAGACTAAATAAATACATAATAGACTAAGTAAATACATAATAGACTAAGTAAATACATAATAGACTAAATAAATACATAACAGACTAAGTAAGTACATAATAGACTAAATAAATACATAATAGACTAAGTAAATACATAATAGACTAAGTAAATACATAATAACTAAGTAAATACATAATAGACTAAATAAATACATAACAGACTAAGTAAGTACATAATAGACTAAATAAATACATAATAGACTAAGTAAATACATAATAGACTAAGTAAATACATAATAGACTAAGTAAATACATAATAGACTAAGTAAATACATAATAGACTAAGTAAATACATAATAGACTAAGTAAATACATAATAGACTAAGTAAATACATAATAGACTAAGTAAATACATAATAGACTAAGTAAATACATAATAGACTAAGTAAATACATAATAGACTAAGTAAATACATAATAGACTAAGTAAATACATAATAGACTAAGTAAATACATAATAGACTAAGTAAATACATAATAACTAAGTAAATACATAATAGACTAAGTAAATACATAATAGACTAAGTAAATACATAATAACTAAATAAATACATAATAGACTAAGTAAATACATAATAGACTAAGTAAATACATAATAGACTAAGTAAATACATAATAGACTAAATAAATACATAATAGACTAAGTAAATACATAATAGACTAAGTAAATACATAATAGACTAAGTAAATACATAATAGACTAATAAATACATAATAGACTAAGTAAGTACATAATAGACTAATAAATACATAATAGACTAAGTAAATACATAATAGACTAAGTAAATACATAATAGACTAAGTAAATACATAATAGACTAAATAAATACATAACAGACTAAGTAAGTACATAATAGACTAAATAAATACATAATAGACTAAGTAAATACATAATAGACTAAGTAAATACATAATAGACTAAGTAAATACATAATAGACTAAGTAAATACATAATAGTCTAAGTAAATACATAATAGACTAAGTAAATACATAATAGACTAAGTAAATACATAATAACTAAGTAAATACATAATAGACTAAGTAAATACATAATAACTAAGTAAATACATAATAGACTAAATAAATACATAATAACTAAGTAAATACATAATAGACTAAGTAAATACATAATAACTAAGTAAATACATAATAGACTAAGTAAATACATAATAACTAAGTAAATACATAATAGACTAAATAAATACATAATAACTAAGTAAATACATAATAGACTAAGTAAATACATAATAACTAAGTAAATACATAATAGACTAAGTAAATACATAATAGACTAAGTAAATACATAATAGACTAAGTAAATACATAATAACTAAGTAAATACATAATAGACTAAGTAAATACATAATAACTAAGTAAATACATAATAGACTAAGTAAATACATAATAGACTAAGTAAATACATAATAGACTAAGTAAATACATAATAGACTAAGTAAATACATAATAGACTAAGTAAATACATAATAGACTAAGTAAATACATAATAGACTAAGTAAATACATAATAACTAAGTAAATACATAATAGACTAAGTAAATACATAATAGACTAAGTAAATACATAATAACTAAGTAAATACATAATAGACTAAGTAAATACATAATAGACTAAGTAAATACATAATAGACTAAGTAAATACATAATAGACTAAGTAAGTACATAATAGACTAAGTAAATACATAATAGACTAAGTAAGTACATAATAGACTAAGTAAATACATAATAGACTAAGTAAATACATAATAGACTAAGTAAATACATAATAGACTAAGTAAATACATAATAGACTAAGTAAATACATAATAGACTAAGTAAATACATAATAGACTAAGTAAATACATAATAGACTAAGTAAATACATAATAGACTAAGTAAATACATAATAGACTAAGTAAATACATAATAGACTAAGTAAATACATAATAGACTAAGTAAATACATAATAGACTAAGTAAATACATAATAGACTAAGTAAATACATAATAGACTAAGTAAATACATAATAGACTAAGTAAATACATAATAGACTAAGTAAATACATAATAGACTAAGTAAATACATAATAGACTAAGTAAATACATA